GCCTGACCCCATCAGTGCCGACCCAACTACACCACCACGCGCATGCCTCGCGGCGGATATGCGCAGCAGCAAGAAGGTTTCGGTCATCCCTTGAGGGTGAGTCTAGCCCTGCTCGCCAGAAAGACCCCCCCCTTCACTACAACCCATGTCTAAGCAAAAGCTTGTCGAGGAGCGAGGGGAAGAAAGGATTGGAGGCGGGTAATTAGGGGGATGTGAGGAAGCTGGAAAACGTCGGTCTTATTTTTGGACAACCGCAAGATTAATCAAGTCTGTGGCGTGTACCCAGTGTGTGTGACAGCAGGTTGATTGAGTGATTCAGGAGTTCTCAACGGAAGCCTCTCACACCAGCCTTGCAATGCTGGGTTTCGTTTGTGTTCGGAGAAACGGAGAATAATATGAAGCCATCGCAGCAGCAGCAGCAGCAGCCGCACACACACCATCCGACAGGCAAGTTGACAACAAGGCAGGGGGGGTTCTGGAAAAACTTGAACAATTGAAACAAGCCCAGAACTTCGACGTGGATACGTATGATGCGTCGTGTTTTTTAAGAGGGCAACCAACAGCTTCGTTGAACGCTCTTCGCAACGAAGGACTGAGGCATCTCTTTGGGCACTACTTGTGTCAACGAGGGTATCTGCTGCTTCTGTTATGTGCAGAGACTGCTGTACAACTGACAGTAGGCTGGTGGGCACGTTGTGCAGCTAGTTGTGGTTTAGACACCCTCACTTCAGCTAGTAATTTGTTCTGATTTTAGCCAAACATTAGACTATGTTCTGAATAGTATTGTTACCCGCTGCTAGTCATTGATTGACAGATACTGCTGCTGCTGCTGTGTAGCTTACAACGTGAACTGAAACTTAGTGGTTGTTTTGTTGTTGACTTCACATAAAAACCGTTCCGAGATCTTGCATCTCTCAACTTGTTATGCACCCAGATGATGCGTACATACCTTCTGCAGACAGGAAGTCGCCTGCAGGGCCGGAGATTAGACTAGGCAAGAAAGGTCAATTTCAATATTTTGGATCTCGGGGCTCGTTTCCATGGTATTTCGCCACCTCTATAGAACGTAGTAGCCTGAGGAGGAGTGAGAGACAAGTGCGTTTCGTACTTTTCTATTTATTTATCATACAGCCCTTTCTAGGCGACAGCAGTGTTCTCAACTACTACACGAGTATAATGATTGTACGGGCTGCACTGCTGTGTTCATAAATGTCGTTACTAGACTTTCACTAGACTGCTGTTGTGGGATTTGAATTGTAGTCTAGTAAGTATCAACGGTAGCGCGGGCTAATTCGGGTAGGAAAGGTGCTATGTATCTATATAGGATGACGTAACTCCCAACTGAAGGACATTGACCTTTATCAACCCTTCGAGAGGGACTTCATCCCGCCCCCGCTCTCTCAGCCTGCCTCATAGCAAAGCATCTACTGCTGTTCCAGATTGTAGCAACAACGCGTTTCATCGGTTTACACTTGGCGTCATCGGCAGGACGGCGTCGGAACGTCGAGGCGGACAAGATGATGCCGGAGGAGCCCGCGCGTCCGAGGACGGTGCCCGAGAGAGAGGAGGTGTTCGCCGAGCCGCGCGATCCCGATGGTCGCTCTCACGCCGGGGCGTTAGCTTGAGCATCGGCCTTGATTGGTCATCAGAGAGGCTGCCAGTTCGCTCCGCCGCCCGTCGGCGGCACCGGCTGTTTTCTCTAGGGCGATGATCTCCACGGCCTCAGCAGTACGTTGAGCCCGGAGGGCGGCGATCATCGTCTTGTTCTCGGTTCGATCGAGCGGCCGTTGTCCGCCCGCCGTCCAGACCAGGATCGCGCTCGATCGATGACTGAGATCCAGGAGGACTCGCTATCGACAGCAAGATGTAACTCGCCGTCCTCCGGGACTCGGCTTACTGCGGACGCCGCGGAGATCGTCAGCCCGGCGTGAGAGCGACCATCGGGATCACGCGGCACGCTCGGCTAGCAACTCCTCTCTCTCGGGCACCGTCTTCGGACGAGCGGGCACCTCCACCATCTTCTCCGTCTCGTCGTTCCGTCGCCGTTCTGCCGGCGCCTACTGTAGCCGTCTTCGTACGCTTCCGCGGCAAGCACCACCCTGATCACCCGCCCGTGACCTCGCGTTGGCCTTCGAAGCTGGCGATAGAGTATTCGCCAGGGTCAAGCTCTCGGACGTGGCGCAAGCTCCGCACTTCAATTCCGCCACGTCCGATCGCGAGAGTCTGGCTTGGATCTGGCTTCGGAAGTAGCAGTAGTAGTGGTCGCCCTCCCGACAGGTTCCACCGTACGTAGAGTATGCCATGTCGGAGGAGGGCGGCCCTTGGCTATGCTGTAAGCCGTCTGTTCACGGCTCTGAGTCTTGCATGCCCGTGCTTATCTTCTCCGGTGCTATTGCCAGAATGTGGGGGGAAGACTTCCGCTGCTCCGCGGCTCCAACAGCATTCCAGATTCCCAAGCCCGGTCGCCCGAAAACATCCAAGGTGAGTCAGCGTTCGGGTCGGTCGACCATCGAGTAGCTCCGGCGACGAAGTGAGTCTGGCTGTAGTTTGACAGGGGCATCTCGTCATCCCCCTCTACGGTGGGAGAAGGTCGCTCGTCAGCCGTCGAAGGCGGCATACCAGCAGCCCTCGAGAGGGATCTCGCGACGAGTAAGATGAAGCGAGGCTGGCTCGGGGCTCGAACGGAAGCTTGCCCCGCAAGGCCGCCCCTCGGAAAGGCACTCCTCTTCAAGGCAAGTTGTCCCTTCCCGTTTGGATGCGAATGATGCCGATGATCGTTTCCTGTTGTGAAATATTTTGGTTCAGCCCCCGTATTGGTTTCGGCCTTCGTCTCAGCCTCGGCCCCTCTCTCGGCTTTGGCCCCTCTCTTGCACCTCCTGTTTTTTCTGGTGGGTCTGATTCTGCAGTTCCGGGTTGTGTGTACTGCTGTTGTTGCATTGTCTTCGGACCACGCTCTTTCTACCGCTTCTTTAGCCACCGTTGCACCGCTCGTGGTTGTCGATGATAGTGCCTTGCCGCTTTCTTCCAACGTTGCACATGTTCGTCAAGCTTCGGTTAATAAATGCTGTTGATGTCGCTGTTGATGATGCTGCTCATGTCGTTTGTCGAGGTTCAACGCGAGTACATCGCTCAAGAGCGTCGCGACCATGCCCTTTGTTGCTTGCAGACGGTTGCCGACAGCTTATTCGCTCGACTCGTACGACCTTGTCCGATATTTTTTGTTGTTCTGTGACCAAAGTGTTGGGGTTGCCAGACATCGGTTTTGTATGTGGACGGGAATCCCCCTCAAGAAGAATCATTTGAATGCGGTCACCCCTGATAAACTGCCTTCACCTCGTTTTTTTTCTAATTATTTTCAGCAAGTGACACGGAGCTTGGACGGAGGAACCACTGGATTTCTGCTGCTGTTGCGTCACCTTGCGGAGAACTTTGACGTCGGAGATCGCCAGGAGTCGGTTGTTCGGCTACAGCAATGTGGCGTACGTAGCTGATGATGCTCCTTTCGCAGACTAATTTCGTGATTTCTGTCTTTTGGTTGCGTCGATGCGGCTCTGAAAGCACTTCGGCTTCTAGTGTTCCTTTTACAGATCGTGCGGCATTCGGTGAGCAAGCAGAGTCCGAATCTGTCTCCGATTTTAACCCGGGTGGTTTGGACACGACGGTTACCCCTTTGGCTTCGATTGCGTTTTAGGTGGGAAGCGTTCGCGCTCTTGGCGGCAATATAACTCCCGCTACCTACCGCGGTTCATTTTATGTTTGGTAGTCCTCCGACGACGGCCTCCCCACCGGACCCCGGCACATTCGGACGAGTGGATATGTTCCTCAGAGAACCTTGTTGTTTTGCCAGTGCAATCCCAAGATGCGGATCCTTTCACCCGCACCAATACTTCATGGCAAGCCTTGCAAGGCGATTGGTCTGTCTGATGTAGGTGCCCTCCTCTCAGTTGTATTTTTTCCCGATCGATGACGATGACATCCCGCCGAGCGATCGCCCCGACCGGGGGATGGATGTGAACAAAAGGGAAAGGAGGATACATTTTGGCACCGCGAGAACGTGATGGCACCAGGGGGTTCGATAACTCCAGGAAAATCTAGCTTCGGGCGTGAGGTTGCGTGGACTTTCGTGAGCTGCAATAACCGTTCTTCTTTTCGAGGCTCTATGTTGTTGCGTTTGCTTGGCGTCGCGAATAAGAAACAAGCCTTTCATTCTCTGGAACCTGAGATCAATCAATAGAACGCATCGTCTTCGAGCCTTGATCACAAAGGATTGTGATTTTTGAGCCGGTCGGCACTACTCGATACCACCACGCCGTTGTACATGCGCACACATACGGGACACGTTCAAAATATATCTACAACTGCTTTACAATCGAGTTTGTACATGTTTTTTTTCCCCGCGGCATCGTTTGTGCCGGATTTTTGCGACCACGGGCTCCCCATTTTCGTGGACTATTCTGAAATTTTAGCTTCAGCTTCTCAGACCAGTATCCGTGGAAGTTTCATTCGACTCCCCGACCCCTTGCCCGACCCGGCCCGAAATGCTGATCTCGAGCTACAATGTAATCTCGCGGAGTCTCGAGTATGGTTCGGTGGGGAATCGCAGATCATGACCCCTCCCCGAGTGTGAGGAGCTTCCGCATCCTGTGGCCGACAAGTCGGCCTTGTCTGTGACGCACCCCGAACGGGGCGGTTGAACAGACCAAAAGGGTCCGTCCGGTTGCATTTCAAGTGTTTTTTTCTAGTGTTTTTTTTCTTGCGAGTGAGAGCGGCGTTCCATGTTTGCCACCTTGCTTCATGGTTTGTTTCATTCAGGCTGCTGTTTCATGCACCACGGCGGGCATCTCGGAGGTATAAGGTGTCTCTGTCTGTTAGTGTTGGACACCCGTACGCGTCACTCGTTCCCTAAAACGTGCACGGACAGCAACTGCGAGAGAGCCGCAAGCCACCAACTGAGGACGCTTTCCATGTCGTCACACATAGTACAGTTAGTCAGGCCACCTCTACCACGGAGGAAGCGCGTACTACATCAGCCTTCGGCCATAACTCTCCTTTGTCCTCTCTCCGTCCCTCCCATTTCCGGCTCTTGGAATACTTGCGTAGTAATTTTGTTTTCAAGGGTCCGCGAAGCTTCGGTTTATTGCTGTTGTTGTCACCGGTCCCTCCGTTCATCTCTCGCCCATGCTCATTATGTTGCCGGTGTGTGCCGTAACTGCGAGAGAGCCGCAAGCCACCAACTGAGGACGCTTTCCATGTCGTCACATTGTCAAGGAGGACCCATTCGCAAGGTATCCGTCGATTGACTTTTTCCAGAATCGGACACCTTTGCACATGGTGAGCAACACAGACTACAGTTAGTCAGGCCACCTCTGCACGGAGAAAGCGCGAACTGCATAGGCCTTCGCCCATAACTCTCCTTTGTCCCCTTTCCGTCCCTCCCATCTCCGGCTGTTGGAACACACATTGTGTCCATGGGAAAATGTCCCAAGTCAGGAGAGAAAGTGTACACCCAAGGAGATTCGAACCAGTATCCTGCTGACGCCATGTGCGAAGGTGTCCGATTCTGGTAAAAAAAGTCAATCGACGGATACCTTGCGAATCGGGTCCTCCTTAACACTCTCCACCCACTGAATATACCCTCAACTGGGAACCTCTCGCGGCCAGGACGGGTAATTCGATGGAAGTGTCACAAGGTTCTTTGCAGGATCGACTCCAAGAGGTGTTCTCACGACTGACACACATTGTGTCCATGGGAAAATGTCCCAAGTCAGGAGAAGAGAAAGTGTGCACCCAAGGAGATTCGAACCAGTATTTGTCTGTATTCGTGCGTAACCAGATGTGTGTATGTATGTACGTAGACCAGCAAGTACTCTCGACAGTAGTATTAGGATTTCCTCGCCAGAAGAGAAGTAGTGCATCTACGCAGGGGCGTGGGGAGAATGTTTTTTTTTGTCCGCTCGGTGCCGGTCGGTCGTGGACTGTTCTTTTTCGGGCGGAACTTGAGTGACTCTTTTGCGCAGAAACGTTCTCTACACCAGCCCACGAGCGTGATAATGACGTACACGCCCCGACACCCAGCCACGATAACGGTTCGAGACCCTGGCCGCCTGACCGCAGGCGTCACCTTGTACCGCTGCTGACAGATCACTGTTAAGGAGGACCCGATTCGCAGGGTATCTGTCGATTGACTTTAGCTGAATCGGTACACCTTCACATATCGCGTCAGCGGCAGGATTTGACTTTTACCTAAATCGGTACACCTTCACAATTGGCGTCAGCGGCAGGATACTGGTTGGAATCTCCTTGGGTGCACACTTTTTCTCCTGACTTGGACATTTTCCCATGGACACAATGTGTGTCAGTCGTGAGAACACCTCTTGGAGTCGATCCTGCAAAGAACGTTGTGACACTTCCATCGAATTACCCGTCCTGGCCGCGAGAGGTTCCCAGTTGAGGGTAAATTCAGTGGGTGGAGAGTGTTTAGGAGGACCCGATTCGCAGGGTATCTGTCGATTGACTTTTACCTGAATCGGTGCACCTTCACATCACCGTCGGCCGGGTTGGCTCATGGCGTGCAGTAGCCCAATCCACCCTCCGTCGCCACCGTCACGGTAGTAACCTTTCCTATTGTCGCCGCTCCTGTCGTCGCCGCTCCCATCAACGGTGGTGCCGCTCATCCGTTCGTGAGTGCGTACGCCCCGGCCGGCCGCCGCCGCCGGGAACACATGACTGCCGGTGGTCCTCCTCTCGCCGCTGGTGTTGCTGCCGATGCAGCCGCTCACGCCACGAGAGCCTCCTGCCCGGCCGTCTCCCCCGCCGCCGCCGCCGCCGCGGGGAAAACTCTGCCGCCGGGGGTCACCACTCTCGCCGCCGGTGCTGATAATGATGGTGGTACCGCTCTAGCCGCGAGTGCCTGCACCCCGGCCGTCCCGACGGCCGGCGTCGCGGGGAACACATGACTGCCGGTGGTCCCTCCTCTCGCCGCCGCCGGTGCTGCTGCCGATGCTGCCGCTTCCGCCACGAGTGCCTGCGGCCCGGCCGTCTCCCACCGTTCGTGTGTCTGGATACGAGCATGGTAGATCTGCTAGCAGCACGGGGGGGG